TGTGTCCTTCAGAGAAGGAAGAGATACCCATACCCAATACGGTGGGGGCGTTCGTTAAGGAATGCGCCCAGGGGGCTTCAGACCCTGTAGAATTCCTTATCTGATGAGGTCGGCAGTGATATCCTGGCCAATCCACGATTGGTGTTCTACCAGCTTCCAGACCCTGGATTCCTTATCCAATGGTTCCTTATCCAATGCCCTCACCGTAGCCGTTTCGGCGCGAGCTGGTTTCTTGAGCTGGTCTCAGCTCGCGTTTGTGCTCACTTACTTCGAAGCGGCGGAGTGGGCACGAGCCAATCTTTCACGACGACGGCCCCACCCGCGGCAGCCCGTGGGCCATGGCGCCGGCACTTTCGGACCCTGGCATCATCCCAGGCGCGAGCAAGACACCCCTCTGGGCTTGCTCCTGCGGGCGGGATGGCAACTGGGCGTCCAGGACGCGCTGCCGCCAGTGCGGCAAGGCGGCTCCCACTCACGTGGTGCAAGCAGCCAAGCTCTCGGCAGCAGCAGCCAACGGGCCAGCTCCCAGCACGTCTCGGCCGCGCGGGGCCTGGGCGCAGGGCCCGCCAGGCCAAGGTCAGCTTCTGGCGCAGCTGCAGCAGCTACAGAAGCAGGTGGCGGAGCTCAAGGGCGAGGCCCCGCCCCCGTCGGAGCCCTGGAAAGGACGCAAGCCCCCGTCCAGGAAGGCGCCCGAGGCGGAGGCAGGCATCTCCTTCAAGGATGTTCGCACCTTCTTGGAGAAGCAAGGGCTGGACACCAGCGCGGTCGAGGAGGCAGAGAAGGCGGCGGAGTCGAAGCTGCTCGAGGGCAAGCAGCCAACGGCCCAGACGCAGCGCTGGCGTGTCAAGGCCATGCGAGACAAGATCAAGAAACTCGAGTCCAGAGAGGCAGCAATTGTGGAGCAGCAGGCCGCCTTGTACAAGGAGCTCCAGGAGCTCAGGGTCGCCCTCAGCGAAGAAAACCAGAAGCTCGCGGAGGGGGAGGCCAAGCTGGTCAAGTTGCAGGCCAGCGAGTTCCCCGACCCGATCCAGGCAGTGGCGGCAGGGCTGGATGAGGACGTCGTCGCCTGCCAGGAGGCCAAGGATGCCCTCGCGGTCCTGGCCCGCTTGCAGTCCGCGGCCAGCGACAGCAAGAAGGCAGCTGCCTCGGCCAGGGCCGCTGCTGCTCCTCATGGTCCTGCTGCTGGGGAGCCTGACGCGGGCGGGGAGCACCAGCCTGTGCCAGAATCAGACGACATCGACATGGAGCTGCTCGGAGGCGAAGGCTGGGAAGAGAAGCGCGAGGAGTTCGCTGCAGCTTCGGCAGCCCTCCGTGAAGCGACCCCTGAGCAGCGGGAGGAGGCCAAGCGCAAGCTGCGTGATGCCCTGGACGCGCTCTGGGCGGCGGGCAAGCGGCCTCGGCACCTTTGACCCCTGGCCCATCGCGTGCCCAGAGGTGGAGCCCAGCCCCCAGCCTAGGGCAGAGGCGGCAGGAGAGGGGAGGCCCGCGGCGGCCGTCAGGCTCCAGCTGGCCAAGCTTGTGAGGCCTTCGGTGCAGCAGGGCGCCAGCTTCGTCAGCATCAACGGCTCCACTTGGGCGGAATCCCAGACGGCCTTGGAGCAGCTGCTGGACGAGAAGGCCAGGGACGACGTGTACCTCATCCAGGAGACCCGCTTCACCTCGGCGTCGGCTACTGGTTCGGCCCGTGCCTGGTGCAAGAGGAACGGCATCAACGCGGCCTTTGGAGTGTGCCGCAGCACGGGGTTGGCGGTCCAAGCCGTCTCTTCTGGAGTTGGAGTACTAGTCGGGGAACACCGCGGAGTGGCCCCGATCGACCAAGACTGGGGCCTGCACGCCTCAAGGATTCTGGCGAGGCGAGTCGCATTCGGGGACCTGGTCGTGGTGTGTGTGTCAGTCTGTACCTGCAGTGCTCGGTCAAGCTCAATGAGACCAACGTGGACCTCTTGAGTGAGCTGCAAGGATTCCTCCTGGGTTTGAGAGAGCCCTTCGTAGTGGGTGCAGGCTGGAACCTGGAGCCCAGCCTCCTAAGCAGCTCGTGGTGGCCTCGCGCCGCGGGGGCGGTGAGTG